TGAAGTTCAGCAAGTATGGTGAACAGCACATGCATAGAGTTTGAAATGTAGTTCAGACATGAATAGGTGTTTGTGAGTGAGTCACCTAACAAACGTACATGCTGTGACTATTATGAAATTTATGTATGTGTGCTATGAATCCATTTCGCTTCTCCTCGATGACGATATAAACGGTATCGCACGATGAAACTTTAGATGTGATATTTCAAGTGTATCGTGATATTTCGAATGTGAATGTGATTTGAAAAGAGAACAAGAATTAAGTTATAAGAGTGAAGATTAGAATATGTTTCGTATGATGATTTATTTTGTTGTGTATTTTAATTGAAATGTTTTGTAATTAAATTTAAAGAATAATAAATGTTGCACATAATTACCGACATTAATAAATCGTTATATAAATCATCCAGAGGTAAGAGTTTTGTAATTAAATTAATTGTTTGATTGTTTTTATTATAATTAAAGCTGTACGGGCATGATTGAAGTCTCTCAATTATTTTTTATATTACGTTACAATTGCTGTTTAGTCAGTCAAATCTTTCACCAGATTTCTACCATCCACAACACACACCTACACATTTTTTTATTTTTTTTAATTACAACATAGTATGGGTTAACTCGGGACTGAGTAAGAGTTATAAACTTTAGGTTTCTATCATTAATTAGAAGTTTAGTAACCGCACATCTATATATTTTTTATGCTCCGTCCTCTCTAATGCTTAATGAGTATTAGTACATCAAATCCTTTATGTGAAATTTCCAATAATCATTAAAATAAAATTATTTAAAAGAAATTAAAAAATTAACACCTATCCATTTTCAATCTCCTTTTATGTGTGTATATATAGATTTCTAAACCCTGCTTTCTTTCTCATCCGATCTCACCCCCCCCCCCCCCCCACACACATAAAAGTTGAAAATAAAAAAGTAAACAAGTCTTGGAAACCACTCAACTTGAACCGAAGACAAAACCCTCTTAAAGCAAAAGAAAACCTCCCTCTCTGCTAACTGAAGGAGCAATACCCTCCACGCCCACATCTCCATCTCATTATTGTGATGCTTAATGGCTAAAAGAGTATATGACTGACGCTGATATATCACTTTTCATTATTACTGGAATAAAGAACTAGGGGGTAACCAATAGAGTTCATGAAGTATTTTATGACTCTAAATACATTTCTAATGTTTACTAATGTAACATCTTTAATACCACCAACGTAAGGCAAATATCTTAAGCAAAATCAGTTGCTTGCTACTGCCTTAGATGGACCAAGGAAGTAACATCATTTCAATTACAACTGGCAGCCTGCTCAGCTATGTTGCCAGCAGTGAATAGGAAAACCAATACTGACGCAAGTCATCTCTTTCTCAAGTTCACTCAGAAACCCAGATGAGTGGACGAGGTTACCCTCATGAGCGTACAAATTATGTAAAAAATAAGGCAATATTTCATAACAGAGTAACAAAAATCATTTGGGATCAATCAAAGACAGTCACATTTCAACCTGTCATGAAATTAATATGCTTAAGCAGAACATAAATTGCTTCTACCTGCTTAACTTTACCATGTTTGTAGCCTCAGTTAATTGGGTCCTCTTATACTAACAGAAAAGATTTATTACCACTGTTGCAAAAACTCTGCAACTGGTATGCAAACGCCAAACTATTTCCTGCCAACTGCCCCAAGAAGAGATTGCCAACTTCATCTGCAACACACTCCTCTATAAAACTAATCCAGACCTCATCTGCATCAGAAACAGGATTCATTCCACTTTAGCTTTTAAAATTTCCTCTTTCAGGGAATTTTCACTTCTTTAACAGTTCTTCATTACAGAAGTATCTTAGGTTGCGACCTTAAAATAATTTCATTGATAACTTTTAGGATAAAGATGCAACCAAATCGAATAAAAGAGTAGAAAGTACAAGTAAATAAAATTTCAGTACTTGAGCTGTGCCATCTCTGCTCTACTTGTCAAACTCCCATATGACGCCTCCATCCTCTGAGACACAATAGCAATCATGTGTTAGCCATAAGCATTATTAAATTTAAACTAAATCAGGGGATAATCTCGAAAAATGAATTATGTAGGAATAAAGGAAATTTAAACATGAGTATTACTATGTAAATGTTAGTCTCATATATATAATGTCGAGGAAGAAGATTGTTCTGATAACTAAGTGAAGAGACAGAATAAATATTGAACTAAACAAACTGTCCGTTCTGCGATATGCTTCTGAAAAGTTCCCAAACTTTTAAGTTCTCATCAACCAACAATTTGTTCTAGCAAATTTTACAGTATGAATTCCCGACCAACATACTCCACAGTCTTCAGGTGCTTGTCAACCAACAAACTGCACAATTTTCACAAATTACACCAATTCCCAGACACAAATCTTATGCTTTTCTAAACAAATAATTGCTAGTAACTGATATTTCTCAAAGACAGAAACAGTAGTGTTCATCAACCAACAAGTCCTATGCATTGTTATTTCAATTCATTTTTATTCTTCTATTATTTACTTCAAGTTTTTGGCAGTAAGTCACTGCAGAGAGCAGAAATAGCAGAGAAAAGGTATTGACACCACAAAATCTGCACTGACAGAATCACAGTTGCCTGTACTAGACAGTATCATTTGAGAACTTCCACAAGGAAGGTCTTGCATGACATACCCTTCACAAGGTAAGACATGCTACAAGATCATAATCAAATGTGTGCCCTGTTCACACCTTTTTATGTTCTATACGAAAGACCTAATCATCTATTGTGAACGATTTTGAAGAAAAACCTTTAACTTTCTTGTTTATCCATATTTCCAACAGCATTCCAGCACCAACTCCGCCAGCAATACATGCTCCATAGAAGGCCATGGCAGAAGGCAGAGATCTTCGAGGAAGAAAATAATAGTCTGGAATTTGTCTAATCTTTTTCGGAAGCCGCTTCTTTACAACTTGTTTAGTACTGGCACTTGGGTCCTTCTGCAATTCACCACCAATAGCTTTCCAGTCAACTCCTTTCAACGGGTCTTTTGGCTCTTCAGTTCCCATGATTATTTGTCAGTTTAATTTACAGCAGAATTTCAGCGCTGCAATTCAAAATACAATTTAAAGACTTCAGTAAAACTTTAGTCCAATAGCACAGAATTGACAAATTCCAATCGCAAAACAAGATGAAAAGATAAAATAAATAAACAAAATTCCTAGATTTTAATACAGCGTGCATGTATGGGCAGACAGAATGGCAGAAATTATATTTTCGATCAGGCAAATCATATTCATCATCAAACCCAGTGCCATGGTGATCAGAGGAAAACCATTTAATTCATAGAGGTAAACAGGCATAAGTCAAAAGTGTGCAGCATATAATCAAACAACATCCCTTATCTCAAAAAAAAAAAAATCAAACAGCATCCCTTATCTAAAAATAAATAAATAAATAAACAACATCCCATTCTCATAATAATTTTAAAAAGGAAAAAAAAAAGATACTACCTTTTATTTTTAAGAACAAAAAGGCTAATTTGAAGTGCCAGTGCGAAATTTTCTAGGTTAACCTACCCAGTCGATCGTACAAGTGAAATCACATCCGATGGGTTGCGTGCCAATTCAGATGTTACAGAAGACCTAGAAGGAAGATATAGAAAACTTAGGTGCCCATTCCCATACTATCGGATTATCGCGGATGAACAAGCAAAATATAAGCCAATAAGGTGTTGAAGAAGGTTAAGAAGGAAGACCTATGAAACGTACAAGTCTTATACAATCTATCAGACTATCATAAACAAATAATCGAAATATAAGAATGCCGAAGACCACAAAATATACAGGAAGAATATTAAAGCACAAAACAAACTGAAAGCATCTATAAAATGCGCAAATCTTCAGCAAGTTTTTAGTTCGATTGTTATGAAATTTCTATTGGAATTTGAATTACTTCCATTTGCACTTAAAAATTCCTAAACTAAGAACAAATAGGAAACGGAACAATTGAGCGAGAAAAAAAATATTAATTGGAAGAGAAGAGTCGGAAGAGAAGAGGAGTAAAGACAGAGGTCTTCACCATGCGCGTAGGGCTAATGCCTCGTGGATCCTCGAAGTGGTGATTCCCGATCACAGTAGAGCGAAACAGCGAATCACAGCTGAGCCAAGCAGCGGTTCAGCAACTTGCAGGAAGTTCCAGCGACGGTTGAAGGATGAGCGATGGAAACATGAACTTCTGGGTTTTGCAGAAGAAGAAAACGTGTTCCTGCGGGTGCAGTTGCGAGTCACAAACGGGAAAAAGGGATGCTTGATTTCTTCTACTTCTTAGGAATCCCGGCAAGAGGGAGTAACAGGGAAAATGGTTTTAAATTTTTAGAATTATATGTTTTTTCTTTACAATAAATTTAAGAAATAATGAAAAAAAATAATTTCAATTTAAGTTGATTTTGAAATCATTTACTGATATATATATATATATATATTTTTGGAGAAATAACTTAGATTATGGAATTATCATAATACTTTTAATAAAATTTTCGACATGCATAGTTGATTGTATAATGTATTAGCTATTATCTTATAAATATATTTATAATTATAATTATGATTTATGATTAAATATTATAAATAGCACTAAATATACGAACATTTTTAATCACATAATTATATAAATACAATTACTATGTTTAACTATATTTTATTACTATCTTGATATTAACTTTTTACTATAATTGATTATATTTGCTTCTCAATATTCGTTTCTTCGACATGGATTACAGTTTGTTAAATATATGATAGCAAGAAAAATACCGAGCAAATTGTAATAAAATATAGTTGCAAACTGTATCAAATGATACACACAGTTTCACATACGGGAATAAGATATAATAACAACTACACATTAGCTAATGAGAAACTGTAAGACATTTCTACTACATATATCAAAGAACAAAAACATCCAGTAGTGGCTTTTTGAAGATTACATAAATGAAACTGGCACATCTTGCCGCATGCAGAAGAGAGAAGAAAATGGGAGGTACTTAATTGTAAAAGTTACTCAGTTCATCCAAATGTAAAATGCAAGTAACTGCAGGCTGCTATGCCCCGACAATAATCTGCGTATGATACTTTTCCATAGTAGGTTTCAGTTTTCAAATGATATCATAACTGTGCAACATGTTGTGATTTTTTCATACATTTAATTGTCCGTCTGCCTTAGCACCCGCAGAATGGAAAGGAAGAGGTTCAGGATATCCAAATAGAGAGAGGCAGAGGCCAATATGTAATCGTCGTATGTGAAGCGCTTGATCAGGTTGTCAGTGTCATAGACTATGTAGCCACAGAAAATCAAAGCACTGATTCCACCATAAACAGCAACAGATGTTGGGCCAAGTGGAAAGAACATCTGCAAAGTAACGAAAAAATTTACAAAATCAGGAATTTACATGTTAAACTGTTGATGGTTGATATGTGGTAGCTGGATTAGGAAGACACAAAACCTGTAGGAACCCAGTTACGATGAGGATGATGAGACTGGTGAATAAAATTGGTCCAAGGAAGCTGAAATCCTTGCCCTTCTTCGCAGCCCAGAAAGTGTATGCAGTCAGAGATGAAACCACAGCCAATGTCAGGATTAGTGCTTCAAGCACAATTCTTCCTGAAAGCACATGATGCAAAGAGATGATAAAAGGATTAGCATGCCATTGAGTAAAATAGACAAG